TCAGAACATTTATTCAAACTTGGTAAATAAGGAATCCGATGACTTTTTGCCAATTCACATACATGACAACGAAAAACTGAAACATCTAAATTAGAAAACAACTTTGGTCTAAGTTTCTTAAGGTAACCAAAAGAAATATGTCCTAATCTCTTATGCCATAGCCATATATTTGCTTGAACCTTCTCAATTCCACTTGTATTAAATGCACGACTGAATTGATGGTTCCCATCCTCAGTCAATTCCAAGTGGTAGAGCTTGTCCCGTTTAACACCATAACCAAGAGTCTTCCGGGTCAGAATGTCCTGAAAAACACAGAATGAAGGCCAAAAAGTTACAGTACATTGAAGAGATGAGGTTATTTGACTAACAGACAAAAGATTATACTCCAACGTGGGAACAACCAATACAGTATCAAGTGTCAAAGTTTTGGACAATACAATGGATCCCTCCCCCGTGATAGGACAAGTACCTCCATTTGCAGTGGAGATAACAGATTGAGAGGATGGGTGAACAATTTGTAAATTGCTAAGATCTCTAGTCATATGATCGGATGCTCCTGTATCAATAATCCAAGTACTATTCTTAGAAGTGGCAGAAAATACATCCACATTACCAGAGATACCTTGTTGAACCACGTTGGCAGTAGGTTGTGACTGGATATCTCCTTATGTGGCTACTGCCGCTTTGCCAGTAATGTTTTTCCTTGGCTTCTTTGAGAAATCCCACCAATCCGGATAGCCGATAATCTCATAGCATCGTTGTTTTGAGTGTCCTGTTTCACCACAATGGCTACAAACAAAATGGTTAGTTTTCCCTGAAGGTGGATTATTTCGTCCCTTTGCAAAATTGTTGTTTCGGTGTGCCACCATGGCTGAGCTTTCAGGAATTGGTCGAGAACTTCCCATGATCTGTCTCTGTTGTGCTTCTCTCCTTACATATGCATATGTGCTTTCCAAATCCAGCTTTGGATCCTTTCGTAGAATCTCGCTGCGGATCTGATCGAATTCTGAATCAAGTCCACTAAGGAATATGTGGACCCGCAGTCGAGCCATCATAGAGTGCATATGTATAAGCCCTTCAACAGATCCTTCCTGTACGTTCGTTCGATGATCGATTTCCTGAAAAATTTCAACCAATTCATTATAGTAAGTAGACAAAGGTCGACCATCCTGCACTGTGGTGAAAGACTTTCGGTTCAATTCAAATAGATGGGTTTCGTCCGATCCATCGTAGAAAGTTTTCGCAACAGCCTCCCATATCTCCTTGGCAGTGGCCAGCCGGATAAACCGCTGCATCAGATGAGGACTCATTGAATCAATGAGCCAACTCTTGACTTTGTGGTTGTCGGTAATCCACGTTGTGTAGCAAGGATCATTGGGTGCTGGTGTCACCATTTCTCCAGTAAGAAATCCAATTTTATTCCATGCTCCAATGCGCATCTCCATCAATTGTGACCATAATGGGAAATTTGTTTCATCAAGAATAATACCAGTGGGGAAACTGGAATTGTCCTGTTGGACTATAATTGGTGGATTCATGATAGTGGGGTTATAGTCTGAGGCTGCCATTTAGATCCAGAAAAAATAATAATAATAAGAATTCAGTACAGTTTTTGATTATCTGTACGCTCTGATACCATGATGAATAGGAAGAATTTGGTGAATAATCACTGCTTGTTCTTCTTATTCTTCTCTTTATGAGGTAAATATATATACTAGAACTAGCTACAGAAACGTAAAGTCTATTCTAGGTAATTTACATATAAAGAGTAACAAAATATTCTCACTAATTGTAGAATCCTATAATTATGATTTTCCAATCTTGAGAGTTGACAAAATCTCTCGTGCCAACACTCCCCCTCAAGTTGGTGCATAGATATCTAT